TGCGAATGAGTGAGGGAGGCTCGCGCCTCATTCATTCAACAAATGTTTCTTGAGCGCTTTCTGCGGGCCAGGACCTGGGGATACTCGAGTGAACGAAACAAGGTCCCTGCCCCGATGGGTAAGCCTGGCTCCCACCCCAGGCCTGCTGCCTGTGGGCTGTGTGGCGCCGGGCAATTTGCTTAACCCATCCGTGCCTCAGTTTCCTCGTCTGCACAATGGGGCTAATCAATGCTCCCCACCCATTCGGACTGTAATGAAGATGAACTGGGTTGATTCACGTCGAGGCCTGGCACACGGAAAGCCCTCAGTAAACGTTGCCTACCGTTGTCATAAAAGTTAGTGCCCGAGACAGTGAGCAAGCAAACACATATGCAATATCCTTCTAGAGACTGGTAACTAAATAAAGCAGAATGAGGGGTTGGGTTTGGGGGGGCTCGGGGGTGTTTTATAAGACGTGGCCGGGAAAGGCCGCTCCGAGCAGACTTGGAGGAAAGGAGCATCCCAGACAGAGGCAACAGCACGTGCAAAGGCCCTGGGGTGGTGGTTGCAGAACAGCATAGGAGCCGGCAGAGCTGAGAGGAGGTGGAGAGAAGCAGGCGGAGGCCAGGTTAATTCCGGGGTGATGGGGGAGCCACCGAGGGCCCTGAGCTCAGGCTGTGCGGGGAGACAAGGTTGCACAGGACAAGGGCGGAAGCAGGAGACCAGTCAGGAGACTGTAGCAAGGGTCCCTGAGAGAGAGAGGGAGAGAGAGCTGGGAGCAGCTGAGGTGGTGAGAAGCAGTCCCATGTGGGAGCTACTTTGGAGGTGGAATCTGCAAACTTGCTGAGGAACGTGAGGGAAAGAGAAAGAGAACCCCAGGGTGGTTCTAAGATTTGGGGTCTGTAGAGCTGGGTGAATGGGGCACCCTTTATCCCCTGGAGAAGCTGCAGAAGAAACAGGATTGAGCTCCCAGGCCTCGGCGGGGCCACGGGGAGGAGATGTGGGCGGGTCCCCATGGATGGGGCAGGGGCCTCAGGCAGGAAGTGTGGTCCCAGGAACCTTTGGGCGGACAGAGCTCAGAGTGCCCTTAGCGAGGGGTGTGGCCAAAGGCGAGAAGCCCCCAAAGGTGAGAACAGGGAGGGGAAAGAAGCCCGGGTCCCCACTCCCGCGCCCCGTCCTCAGGCCCCTGACTGTCCCTCTGCCCCCCTAGGGCTCTGGTGGACATCCTGAGGCATCAGGCGGGACCCGGGACCCGCCCGGACCGGGCACGGAGCAGCTCCTTGACCCCGGGGGTCGGGGGTCCGGACAGTATGGCCCCGAGGACACCCAAGAACCTCTACAACACCATGAAGCCCTCCAATCTCGGTGAGTGAGACCTGGGCCTCTGACCACGCCCCTCGTCCCTGTGGCCCCGCCCCATCCGGCTGGCCCCGCCCCCAGCCACCGCCTCCAAGATGAGAGGGGCAGTGAGAACCCGCGCCCTGCCTCCTGTGGACACCCTGGGTGGGCGCATGGACACCACGGTGACTTAGATTTAGACACTCTCAGCCCCTGAGCTGGACAAACTCCGCGTCAGACCACCCGACAGCCGACAACACACCAGGACGCGCCTAACTGTTGGATTAGGATTTGGGGGGAGAAGGGAGCGGACCACTGGGGTTGGCATCCTGGCTCTGCTTCTGTGTGACCTGGAAGCCCGTGCCTCACCCATAAGGTGAGGAGCACACAGCGCTCCCTGGTTGGGCTGTTGTGAGGGTCTCAGAGCCATGCCTGGCCCAGAACACGTGCTGTGTCAATGCGAGCTGCTGCTGTTGTGCTTACACTAGAGGCCTGGTGCACGAATCCGTGCATGGGCGGGGTCCCTTGGCCTGACCGGCTGGCTGGAAGGGAGGGACCTCCGGAGGTTGGCTGTGGGAGCACACTGACCACCAGGGGGCAGCTCCTGCATTGAGCAGTCTGCCCCCTGGGTGGTCAGTGTGTGTCATAACTACCGGTCAACCAGCCAATCTGCAGAGCGGTCATAAGGGTCGCTGAGGGCCATGGGTAGCCACAGAGGAGTTTAGAGCAAAGTCAGAAGTGGGGGGAGCTCTGCTCTGTGGAGGGGAGAGGCTGGGAGGACGGTCCAGGCCTGAGCTGGGTCGGAGGAGCAGTAATAAGAGACATTGAGCTGGATCTTGGGCGATGAGTAGGAGTTCTGCAGGCAAAGAAGGGGAGGCAGGGTTTCAAGGCAGAGAGAACAGCAGGTGCAAAGGCCCTGTGGTGGGCCTGAGGGGACTCAGGCAGGCGCCAGAGAGAAGGGCAGCCTGAGAGGAGGGGTGGGTGGTAACTGTCCCGGGTGGGTGGTGCGGAGACGTGGGAAGAGTGTCGGGCAGCGGAGGGGCAGGTGGGGTGTAGGAGTCCCGTGGTGGGGCTGACCTTCGACATGGCTGGCCAGGGGCCAGAAGGCTGGTGTGATGATCCAGGAGGCAGGCGGGGCCAGAGCTGGGCACAGCAGTGCCCGCTGGGAGTGGGCGATGGTGGTGATGCCACCTCCCTTCTTGGTCCCCACAGATAACCTGCACCACAACTACCTGCACCTCAACGTCAACAGCCCCAAGCACCACGCCACCACGCTGGGTACGTGCCAGGGCCGGGCAGGGGACACAGGGCCCCTCTCCTCCCGCTCCTGAGAGCACCCCAGGGGGGGCCTGGGACAGAGCAGGTGGGAGGCCCCATGAGGCTGTCCTCACGTCCAGCCAGGTAACCGAGCGAACCTCCGCTTCCCACTTGGACACCGGAAGTGGCCGACTCTCCCACCCACGGGAGTTGGTGGGAAGATGCAGGAGTCCATCCCCCGCCCCCCTGCCTGGGGCAGGGCACCCAGCAGGTGCTGAGCCAGGGCCCGTTGCCCCTCCTCCTGTGACGTTCCTCCTTCCCCAGCAAAGAGCCTGTCTCCTGGCGTGGGCAGAGACAGCCTGGACAGCAGGAGCCCTGAGGGGCTTCGATCCCAGATATATAACCCCTAAGGGGCTGGGGGCTGGGCTCCTGGGGCTGAGGGAGGAGGGGCTGGGGGCTATGTGGGCAGAGACAGCCTGGACAGCGGGAGCCCTGAGGGGCTTCGATCCCAGATATATAACTCCCTAAGGGGCTGGGGGCAGGGAGTCTGGGGCTGAGGTAGGAGGGGCTGGGGCTGGACTGACCCCAGCTGCGCTCTCTGCCCCAGACTGGAGGGCCGCCCCACCTCCCATGGGCTCCTGGGCTGAGGGAGGAGGGGCTGGACTGACCCCAGCTGTGCTCTCTGCCCCAGACTGGAGGGCCGCCCCACCTCCCAGCCCCAACTTGCATTACTCCACGCTGTCCTGCTCTCGGTCTTTCCACAACCTCTCGCATCTGCCCCCGTCCTACGAGGCTGCTGTGAAATCCGAACTCAACCGCTACTCCTCCCTCAAGAGGCTGGGTGAGTCCCCGGAAGGGCGGGGTCAGGGCCAGGGCCGAGGTTCAGGACCGCGGACAGTGGTCCAACAGCTTTCTGATGGCTTATTTAGAGCTTCCCCCTCCACGTTTGTTCCGGAAGCACATTTGTATCAGAATTACCTGGGGTGGTTTTTAAAATGCAAATTCCTGGTGTACCACCCCTGGGTCTACTGTATTTATCAGGACTTGCATTTTCAATGAACAGAAATAAGACTTTAAGCGCATGCACCCATGCATATTCTCCCCCCCCCCCTCTCTCTCTCTCTCTCACACACACACACACACACACACACACACACACACACACGCACACACACGTAGCTAAGTGAGCTTGAGAATGGGCCTGGAGCTTCAGGTGTGGCTGGATCCAGGTGCTCAGAAGCTGTCTCCAGGATTCTACATCTCTCAGCTCTGCTAAACAGGGGGCTGGCTTCACTTTCAGACAGATATCCCCCCATGGCTGCAAACAGGGACCTGAGAATTCTCTCTCTCTCTCTCTCTCTCTCTCTCTCTCTCTCTCAAGCGCGCGCGCGCGCGCACACATACACGTAACTAAGTGAGCTTGAGAATGGGTCAGGAGCTTCAGGTGTGGCTGGATCCAGGTGCTCAGAAGCTGTCTCCAGGATTCTACATCTCTCAGCTCTGCTAAACAGGGGGCTGGCTTCACTTTCAGACAGATATCCCCCCATGGCTGCAAACAGGGACCTGAGAACTTCCAGGTTGTCATTCAACCAGCAGAAAAGAGTCCCCTCCAGCCCCAGCCGGTGTGGCTCAGTGGATAGAGCGAAGGGTCCTGGGTTTGATTCCGGTCAGCGCGAACCTCGGTTGCAGGCTCCTCCCTGGCCTGGGCCCTGGTCGGGGCTTGTGCAGGAGGCAACCAATCAATGTGTTTCTCTCACATGGATGTTTCTCTCTGTCTTTCCCTCTCTCTTCCACTCTCCCTAAAAATCCATGGAAAAATAACCTCGGGTGAGGATTTAAAAAAAAAAAGTCTCCAATGATTCCAGGAACAATCCCAGGCGTGGGTCCCATCAGCCCAAATAATGTCACAATCTCATCCCTGATCTATTCATTGCAACTCTATTGGATATTTCTGGCTCAGTGGCCCACCCCGTCAAACATTTTAAACTGAGAGCCAAGTAAGAAATGCTTTTAACATGATGGCCCATGAGATGCATGTATATTTGCACATTTTTAATTACAGGAAACTGTTGGAACTTGTTATTAAGAACATTTTTGGAAGAATTTATCTCAATCTGTTGAGATCTTGCTTCTAGATGTATCCTCTGGCTCAAATAAATTTTTATTAAAATTCTCTTTATTAATATATTTTTAATCTTTTTAAAAATATATTTTATTGGTTTTTTACAGAGATCACCAATTCCCTCAGCCTCCTGCACGCCCCACATGGGGGTTGAGCCCAAAACCCGGGCATGTACCCTTGACCAAAATCAAACCCAGGACCCTTCAGTCCACAGGCCGCGACACTCTATCCACGGAGCCACACCCGCTAGGGTTAAAATTCTCTTTACACAAGAACATTTCAAACATACCCAAGAGGAGAGAAGATTGTCGCATCAACCTCCATGTTCCCATCATCCAACTTGAACAATGAGCAACACTTGGTTATCCTATCCTCCCTCCATCCCATCTTCCCGTGGATCATTTTAAAGCAAATATCAGGGGTTATGTCACTTCATCCGTTAACATTTCAGTAACACACACATAACTGAAAAAAACGTATGAACCAGCACTCACCCTCACTCCCTTTTGATGGGGGATGCCTTCTGGTGAGTAGAATTTTCTGTGCTTTTCAATCCTCACCCTCGAAGTGAGGATTTTTTTTCCGTTGATTTTCAGAGAGAGTGGACGGGACGGGGAGAGAGAGAAACATTGGTGTGAGAGACACACGTCAGTGTGAGAGAGACACATCGATTGGTTGCCTCCCACATGGTGAGAGACACACGTCAGTGTGAGAGAGACACACGATTGGTTGCCTCCCACACGCACCTCAACTGGGGGCTGGCATTGAACCCACAACCCGGGCCCCTGCCCTTGACCAGAAATCGAATCTGAGACCCTCAGGTAGGCAGGCCAAAGCTCTAACCACTGATCCACCCTGGCCAGGGCGCTATTTCATTTTTCAAAACGCTGGTCACTACCCATAAAATTGACTTCACAGAAAGCACCGCTGCAGGATGGGGGGGGGGCGGAGTGCTCCCTCCAAAGCAGGCGTTGGGTTCTGCTTCGGAAAGAAGAGCTACTCGCAGCGGTTCTCAACCTCTGGGTCGCGACCCCTTTGGGGGGTCGAACGACCCTTTCACAGGGGTCGCCTGTGAGTAGAATTTTCTGTGCTTTTCAATCCTCACCCTCGGAGTGAGGATTTTATTTTTCCATTGATTTTCAGAGAGAGTGGACGGGACGGGGAGAGAGAGAAACATTGGTGTGAGAGACACACGTCAGTGTGAGAGAGACACATCGATTGGTTGCCTCCCACACGCACCTCAACTGGGGGCTGGCATGGAACCCACAACCGGGGCACCTGCTCTTGACCAGAAATCGAATCCGGGACCCTCAGGGAGGCAGGCAGGCCGAAGCTCTAACCACTGATCCACCCTGGCCAGGGTGCTATTTCATTTTTTTCAAAACGCTGGTCACCACCCATAAAATTGACTTCACAGAAAGCACTGCTGCAGGATGGTGGGGGGCGGGGAGGAGGGAAGTGCTCCCTCCAAAGCAGGCGTTGGGTTCTGCTTCGGTGCCTGGGAGGGGGGCCGGGGAGCGTGTTTTGGCCACATCGCTAGCGGGTTGTTCTGATTCAGTTGCGCCCCTGCCCTGGCTAATGACCCGAGTGATGCCCAGGGTCCCCGTGGGGGTGCGGGTGCGGGTGCAACGCGGGGTAGGATGGAGGGAAGCCAGGGGAGGGGGGGG